GGGGTAGATTGGGGTGTTTTACTTACATCCTCAAGTGCCCATGTGGAGTCCAAAAGGGGTTTGATTTTGCCGCCTTGGAACAGCTCAAACACCTTCTCGACCGTTTGTTTCACGTGAGCGGCGCCGTTTTGCTGGTACATCAAGTGGCGCAGGTTGAACCCGGCCAAGCTTTTGTTTTCGTCGAAGAGCTTCAGAGGGGAAACTTTATCTACTTGCCACCACTGAAAGAGGGAAAAAACAGCAACTTTAGCAGGTTTTTCGATAACATTTTAGGCTTTGGGGGCTTACACAGCGAGCGGCGCTGAAGAAGCCCTTCGTTTCGCCGGTAACAACGTTCGACGTTCCATAGAGAACGTATCTTCCCATGGGCTTAAGCAGATTGTAGCCTTTATTGCACTCTTCGCCGCATAGACAGTCCAGCACAATGTCGACTCCATCGGGGGAAATCTAAGGAAAATTGCCTGATTCGATTTTTCCTGCCGATGATTGATTCGCAGATTTACCTTCCTGACTTCGCTCACATAGTCTGATCCTCGCTCAAGCAAATGGTCAATTGGGGACGTGGCTTCTTTTAGAACGTCGTGTTTTCCTTTAGAGCACAGTCCGAAAATGGTCACGTCTGGGACGGTTTTAGCTAGTTGGACCACTGCTTGACCCTGCAACAAACCAGAAGTGAAGTTCCGGAAGCTTTTGATTGCGAAATAAATGCAAAAATTATCCTTTCGGTTTATAGAATCTGTTGTTTTCTATAAAATGTGGCAACAGAAATGTGGGCAAAACGGCGGTTGCAAACGTAGCTTGTTTTGCGTAAATCTCAAAAAACCCCAGATCAAGCTACAAATTCGAAGGTTTAAACACGTGTAGAGCCGAATTTCCTCTAGAGACCCGCATCTCGTTGCGCGTTTAAAAGCATCAACATTTGGAAGAATTCGGGTTTGAAAAAATCTCAAAAAATACCTGATGAAGTTGCGAGTGTGAAACTTTCAGCGTGGATAGAATGCACTTTTCTTTAGCAAATGCAATAAAGCCAAGTTTCCGTTCATGTCTGGTTTTTACACTACGAGTTAAAAAAATAAAGGATGCATGAAACCGCAGTTTCCAAATTTGTCTGGTTTGAAAAATTACCAAAAAATACCCGATGCAGTTGTAAATTTGACATTTTCAGCGTGGTTAAAATCGATTTTTTCCTATAAAATGTAACGACGAGTTAAGAAAATTTAGGCCAGAAGCAGATTCTGTTTCCTTATAAAAGGCAAATGTGCAACTTTCTACCTGCTTTGGATCTTGCGGCCTTTAAACTGGAAAAAAACACATAATTGAAAAACCAACAAAATAACCTCATTTTGAAAATTTCTCAAAAAATCGGTGGGAAAGGTGCAAAGTCAAAACTATCACGGTTTATAACGTCGACATTTCTCTAAAAAATGCGACAAAGATCACCTTTAGTATTTACTCTATGAGTTAAGGAAGGAAAAGGTGGTTGAAACGGCCCTTGCAAACTTAGCTTGTTTTGCGAAAATATAAAAAAACCCTGATGAAGTCATAGATTCGAGACTTTAACGACGTACAGAACCGAGTTTTTTCTATAGAACCTTACAACACCCAACTTTCCATCGCGTTGGGTTTCTACACATGTAAATCGGAAAAAAACTCGCTAAAAAGTGAAACGATCCGCGGTAACCGAGATCATTTTGAAAAACCTGCGAATAATCCTTGATAAGGAAGCTAATTCTTCCTGACGTTTCGCAAGCACGAGTGGCTTGCATCTTCAGAAGTGGTTTGCTTGAACGCTTACATTGTTCTCATCAGAACCCGCGTTCAGTTCTTCCGCAGAACTGAACGCGGGTTCTGATGAGAACAGTGTAAGCGTTCAAACAAACCACTTCTGAAGATGCAAGCTACTCGTGCTTGCGAAACGTCAGGAAGAAATTCTACCGAACGACGGCCTATTTTCTCTCCGGCAAAAATACAGACTGTAATGTAATCGGACATTTCCATTAAAAGTTGCAAATTTTGTTTTTTTTTTGTGCAAAAAGTGTTCAGAAGAAGCACAATTATGGGTTGCGGTGGCAAACTGTACACATTTCTTGACTCCATCGAGAGTTGGACGATTTAGAGTTCAACAAGTTTTTGTTCCAAAAGTGTTCCTTTCTAGCAGGGAAGGAAGTAGGAAAAATGTAAAACAGTTCGAATAAGGATAATAATAGGACTAAAACTTGCTAACAAATTAAAAAATCGTCGTCAGTCAACTTTTGGAATAATTATGTATTCAATGCGCGATTAAAATCGCATTAAAATCTAAAAAAAGTTCAGCTTTTGCAACGTTTGCTTCAAAAGTGAGCGCCAAAAGTGTCAAGGAAAAGCACCTTTACTGGTTGGATTGAGAAAATGTACAGTTTTCATCAGTCGGGAGGGTTTTAGACGATTTAGAAAATTCAACAAGTCTTTGCTCCAAAAGATAAACACTTTTGCATTTCTTCAGTTTTCAGGTTTCAACTGCGAAAAAATCGAATTTTTGCTATTGAAACTACGGAGAAATGGAAAACAATTTGAATTTCAGCAACACAAGATCCGTTTATCCGCAAAGTGTTAAGCAAACAATGCTCGATTAAAATATCTTTAAAACGTAAAAATGTTCAGTTTTATAAGGTTTATAACAATAGTAAGTGGGAAACGTAAGTTCTGTGTAAAATCTAGCGAGACTGAAACTTGCGCTAAAATTGAAAATAGTCGTTGATGAATTTTTGGAAGAATTTTTATACAAAGCGCGATTAAATTAACGTCAAATTGTAAAAAACAGTAGTTTGATTGCAGTTTGGGCTTGAGAGCAGCTTGAAATTGATCCAGATTTTGGGAAAAAATCTGCTATTCTGGTGAAGTACATTTTTGGTTAAATAGTTTTGGGAATAGACTAAACTGGGGTTTTTGATTTGATGTTAACAGATTTTTTCCGGCCACAATCGACTTGAAAAACCCCATTTTTCTAATGCCACTAAATCCCATTAGAGCAAGAAAAGTTTGCTCCCGAATTCTTCTGGTTTCAATTACGGACACCCTGTATAAACCAACGTTATTGCAATGGCAGTTTTCACTAGTTTGCGCTTTTATTCCCCCAACTATGGGTGAAAAAAAACACGTTTTTCAACTATTTCGATGCGTAATTCATCGGGTTGCATGATGGTGCCCCATAAACCACTCGGGTTGAAACGTGACTGGCTGGCTTTGTTGGGGCTTTATGAAATTGTGAATTATTAAATTCGGAAGGGTTGTAAACCGGGTGGTTTATGTTATTTTTAGCTTCCACTTTCCACGTTTTCCCACTCAGGTGCYTGCTATTGATTGAATACTCACGGGATTTTTGACGCGAACTTTCTTAAGTACATTGAATGTGCCATTCGACTCATTAATTTCACTTGGTTAAGTGARCTTTTTTTAATTATGCTTATTATTGATTACTTGTCGGGGCGCAAGGAATTAAAATGGAAACATTATTCATAATAATCCTGTTATCCTGAGCAAGAAGTCACAGCACGGTGATGGATGGTGTTGATTATGTTGAGCTTAACAGCAGGAATTTCGGGGGTAATTTAATTCGGCTTGTTAAGGGAAACGAATCCATTAAAGCCTGTTTTTAGTTGTTCCATCGGCGACAGTTTTCCAACGGGTAATTCGATCGAGACATTGCAGGACCCCACGTATTTCCGACTCAGCTTCCTGCATTTTCCTGCAAAGCACGATCCCCCTTAAGGCCCGTTTCGTTTTTTTCACTTGCCATGCTCCAGAGCCAGATAAATTGGATTCCTCCGAAGAAATGGGTGTGAAAGCCGCACAATTCCTTATCAGTATCGGTCTATCCAAAGTTGAAGAGCGTTTTTTCCTTTGGGAATGTTTCAATCGAAAGCCATGTTTTAATCAGTCGCCCTCGACAGGAACACACCAACAAGGCGTTTTTTAGGACATCCGTTATCGTCGGG